TGATGTAATAGCGGCCTTTGTATGGTGCTGACTTCCAGGTCGGCCACGTGCTCCGTGCATGTTCTCTTGCCGATTCTTTGTTTGCCTCCAATGTTTTTACTTCTTCGGTATCCATCCTCATAAATTATGTAAATAGAATATAATACGCCAATTCTAACTCTGGTCCTCTGAGGGAAGTGCGGGGCAAGGGGGACCTGTAACGCGGGAATGACGTATGCGGGAAGAGGGATCCGTGAGATTGCGGGGAAGGAAATCCGCGAGGCCCGCGGGGAGGGGAATCCGTAATTTAGGATCGCGGAGAGGGGGTACGCGAGTTTAGGGTCTGCGGGGAGGAGTATACGCGATTTAGGATTCGCGAGGGGTCCGCAAGTAGAGAGAAGCGATAAGAGTATCAACGAGTAATGACACGAGAAAGACGCACGCGAGAGAGAAAGAGATAGCGCGATAAATAACGCGGTGGACAGAATGTAAAGAGAGATGACGAGAGAGCGTAGTGAGAAAGATAGCGCGGAGATAACGCAAGGCGCACGCGATAGGTAACACGGGGCGTTTATAGGACAGTGCAAAGAGAGAGAAAGAGGAGCGACAAGATGATGCTCCGCAAGAGAAAAATTATGACAATTCTAATTCTAAGATGCTTTAATATATGTATATATATTTTTTTACTTAATATAGGATATACTTATAAATTAAAAGGGAACAAGAGGTAAGGAGAGAAGATTTTAATCCTAAAATAATTACACAATATATATATATATATATATATATATATATATATAATATATAAATATTTATTCATAAAGATGTGTGTGTAAATTTAAAATATAAAAATATGAATATATAAAATTAATGTAATATAAAATATGAATATATAAAAAATTAATATAATATAAAATATATAAAATATGAATATATAAAAATCAATGTGATATAAAATATGAATATATAAAAATTAATATAATATATAAAATTTGTTTGAAGAAGGGCGGCGCGGGGCGAATCCATACCTGGCTTCTAAACACAGAAAAATTTTATTAATTATAATTTAATTACTTTTTAATTTTATTAATTTTAAGAATGATACCAATCCCACGACTGCTCCGGAACTGGTTCGGGCGATGTTGTTTCAGCGTCTGATGTTTTGGAGGATGAATCAGATGACGTATCAGGTGTCGAATCAGCCAATATTTCATATGGCCATCCATTTCTATTGTCTTCATCAGAACCTTTATTTCTCCAATGCACATAATTAAGCCCGCGATGTAAGCGATGTTTACACATTGCCCGACTATGCCCAGATAATTTAGAAAATATTATAAATAATATTCATTACACATGCGCGCTTTTTTTACATAATAATTACAAAAATAATGCAAAAGTTTTGCACAAGGTTTTCTTATCCCAAGTTCACGATTTTGCAGAAACTGTACTACTGAAGTTATAGAGTTCGATTCCACAGTTTTAATTGTATGATGCGGTGCAGCATCTCTCATTCTCTCAACATTATAATTATCATTATTATCAGTAAGATGTAGATATCATTTTTCAAGCTTGTTATATGGCATCTTTGACGACATAATTATAGTTTAGTATATGCAGACGGGGCACACACGACACGATACAATTTGATTTAAGGAGCATCTGCAGTAAAAACAAATACTCCCTTCTATTAGAACATATCTCGCAGTCTCATGCTTTCGTACAGCACGAGCACTTGAATACAAGTTTGCTACGCGTAGGAAGCACGTCGAACAGAATTTAGCACCATACTTATTTTTATAATAAAAAAAAATATTACACATTTTTGTTAATTCGGTAAAATCATTGATATCAATTTGATTTAAATTTTGCACAGAGCTATCAATATTTTCACTACAATCACTATCATAATCAGAATCTGCTATGGATACCTCGACGTCTGATTCTTCTTCTTCAATTACAGCGTCTTTATCATCCTGAACAATAATTACCTCAATGTCTGATTTTTCTTCAATTATGTCTTTATCATCTTGGGCAATGTCCACTTCCATTACATCATCATCTTCATCATCTTGGACAATGTTCACTTCCATCACATCATCATCATCTTCAATAACAATAATTTTTTTATCCATTTTCAAGACTGCCTGAAACTGAGCAACGGGTACATATTATATGGTACGATTCTACATTTGCAAATTTAAATTTTTACTGATTCATTATACGACTCTATATATGTCTGCAACTTTAATTTTCCACTGGTACAAGTTTCTACTTTCACTTGGCGCAATTTTTTTTTTATTTCATTACTTTTGTTACGATTGTACATGGGTTTATAATCGATAATTTTTCATACAATTCTATTGTACATGGGTTTGCAATGTAAGATTCTACATAAGTTTGCAATGGATAATTTTTAATACAATTCTACATGGGTTTGCAATGGTTAATTTTTCATAGGATTCTACATGAGTTTGCAATGGTTAATTTTTCATAGGATTCTACATAGGTTTGCAATGGGTACGATTTTACATGGGTTTGCAATGGTTAATTTTGCCTAGGATTCTACATGGGTTTGCAATGATTAATTTTTCATAGGATTCTACATGGGTTTGCAATAGGATAGGATTCTACATGGGTTTGCAATGGATAATTTTTGTTAATGGCGTGCCCTTAACTGGTCGCCTTTTTTTACCTTTTTTTAAAGGTGAGTTTTTAGAGATTATATCATTCATTTTTGTATATTTTTATGACCGGAATAGAACAATTATTAAACATGTTTATCTAAACTTCTTTGCTTAAAATGATGTGTACAATCATATCCTAGAATCCTGATCATTCCTCCTAAAGCACCCTATTTATATAAATTTACCCATATGTGTGTGTGTGTGTGTGTGTATGTGTGTGTGTGTGTGTGTACTAATGTCGAGCATTTTTTATACATTTTCTATTAAATTTAGATAAAAGTTGCAGGATTTCGAAAAAGAAAAAGTTGACACAGACTTTTTCCTAAACGGCGATTTTCAAGGTTATTTAAAGGTCACTTATATTTTCAAAATAGAATTACCTTAATTTTTCTCATATAAATCGATTAACTCGCAATATTTACTATAAAAAGTTGTAAAGGTATAATTTTTACATAATCTTACATAAACTTCGAAATATTACAAATATTTTATTTTATGAAATATTTCAGTTTATGTAAAATTATGTTAACTATCTTTTAAATTATTCACTTTTAGCCATCTTACCCTTACAACCTTTTATAGTGAATATTGCAACAAATTGGTTTATATATATAATATATATATAACATCAGTTATTATTAATTGATGTTTACATTTATTTTTAGACTTACTAGAGCTCAAATGCTCCACATTTTTTGCAAAAACTGTTTATTCTACAGATTTCAAATATGCTTTTAAATGATGATTGAATATTTCCTTTTTTTAATTATTTTTATTATTATTTTTCAATCTCAATCAACTTTTATAACTTTATGCCAGCACGATACAAATACATGTGTCTTTATTTTTTTTATTATTTTCATTATTATTTTTCAATCTCAATCAACTTCTATAACCTTATGCCAGCAGGATACAAATACATGTATGTCTTTATTATTGTATCAACTCTTGTCTTTTCCATGTAACCATGTCTTCATAGTTTGAATTATCCCTTCATCTTCTCAATCTTTCGCAGAGATTTAATTAATTAAATACACTTCACACGAAATAAAGTTTGCTGGAAGATATACAGCAAACGATAACTGTAAAAACATGATTACGTGGAAAGAACAAGAGTTGGTACAGTAAAGGCAAGTAAGTAAGTACATGTAATGTATCGTATTGGCATAACGCTATATCCGCGGAGCAGATAATGTGGCTGTAGAGGTAGTCTGCAGTGCAGCTAATGTGGACGTAGATGTTGATTGAGATAATTGTCTAATATAAAATAGAATTTAAAAATTTAGTTTAAAAAGCTGTTGCATATATAAATAAAGTTTATTTTTTCTAAATTTGGAATATGTTTAATTAATTAATTTTTTAAGTCTATGTTTAATAAATTTTTTAAGTCTGTATTCAATAATTTTATTCATTTGATAAATACATGTATGTCTTTATTTTGATATGTTTAATATAATTAGAAATTCATTATTAATTAGATATGTAAACTATAAATTCATATATAATATTTGAAAATATATGTGAATATTTAAATTTTTATCTTCTCCTTCCTCTCCTTCAATCTCTTTAATATCAATATGTGTATGTGTGTACACGCGCGCACATTTGTACGTATTTATTTAATTATTGGATAGTTGAGAGTACTTAATTGATAAAAAATTATGACAATAATAATCCTTGTTTTTTTTTCTTATTATTTACTCAGATTTTTTTGTCTATCTTATAAGATAAACACTTTAGAGATTGAATATTTCAAGTAAACTAATGTAAGTAAATTTCACATTAATGCATATAGATGTTTAATCATGAATGTACTAAATAAGTACACAAGACGAACAGTGAGTGAGTGAGTGAGAATGAGAGAGTGTGTGTGTGTGTGTGTGAGAGAGAGAGAGAGAGAGAGAGAGAGAGAGAGAGAGTTAGCCAACATAACCCCGCACGCTGCCGATATGGCGGAGCGCCACTATCGCCATCTGTTGTAAAACGTGCGAGATGGACAAAATTACCACTACATGCATCTTGCATGTGTTGTGTACGTGTGATATATGTGTGCGCATGTGTTGTATACGTGTGAATACGTGTAGCACGATACTACTATGTATGCGTGGTCGATGATGATAATAATAATGATGACGGGGACGTTTCTTAATAGAAATTTTTCATATTTCGACTTTGCATTTATATATCTCTGCTTACAAATCACGTAGAGCAGAAATAAAGACACTTTTATTATATAATTCGAACTCAATCTATCGATTAAGTCTAGTATAAACTCGATTGCTTCAGCCATTATTGAGGATTCGAAATATTATAAAGACTCAAATGTCCGACTCGCGTTAAGATACACGGTGTCTCCGCTACGCCCTTAACTGGTCGCGAGACACTACCGTGTCTCTTGATAGTGTCGCTCCCCTCTTAATTTTTTTATTTCATCTCTCTTGTTCTAACTAGAGCATTATGTCATAGCAAGCTCATCATTTCTTTACAGAGCACATTCAAAGAAGCACTTTTGTTGGCTATGCATATCAGACAGGAAAAAGAAATAACTTAACACAGATTAACAGTAAAATAATTTATTTGTTAGAAATATTATACAAAATATCATTTATAGCACAAGTTATCAATTCACTGTCTATAAGTGATTCGTTGTCAAACATATTGCTTCCACATATTACCTTTGCGGCATTGCTTGCATCGCAAATATTATTACGTTGTAAAATATTTACAAATTGTTTAAATTTTTCAGTAACAATATGTGTATTCTCCTGCAGCCAGAAATACATATGATCAATACATTTTTCAAAATCGAATAAATGTAATAAAGTTGATGGCATTATGTACAAAGAATTATTAGATGATGTAATTTTTATAATTGTTGAAGTACAGGGTTTGTCCCAAAAGTAATGAGCCTTTTTTCAAAAAAATAAATTTATTGATCAAACATGTAATACAACTTAATACTCTTCAAAATAGTCTCCTTCTGCATCTATACACCTTTGCCAACGTGTTTTCCATGCATCGTAGGCCATCTGGAACTCGCTTTTCGGAATGCTGTTAAAGCATCTCGTCGTGGTGTTTTGAATGTTGTCCAGGGTCTCCAGATGCTTTCCTTTCAGCTCCCTTTTCACCCTTGGGAACAAGAAGAAGTCTGCCGGGGCTACATCGGGGCTATAGGGGGCTGTGGCTTCCATGCGCTGCTGTTTTTGAGCGTCAGACAAAACTTTTGGCACAAGTTTCGCGCAAATCTTACGCATGGCCAAGTCTTCTGAAACAATTCGATGAACATCTGTTTTCGGCAAATTTAATTGTTCTGACATCAAACGAACACTCATTCGGCGGTCTTTGTTCAGCAAATCTCGCACACGAGTGACATTATCGTCCGTTCGCGATGTTGATGGACGCCCAGAACGGGCCTCATCGGCCACTTCTTCCCGGCTTTCCTTGAACGACTTGTGCCACTTTTTGACCTGCGAGTACGACAAGCAATCATTCTTGAAGGTCTGAGGTCTGATGAAATCAAACGTTTCCTTCGCCGTCTTTTGGAGTTTGACGCAAAATTTTATCGCATAGCGTTGCTCCAAAGTTCTCTCCATCCTAACCACGACGAAGCTCTGCGCGGAGGTTCACTAAAAATGACGTTCCACCGCTCCAAGAGCTTGTACGCAACTGAACCAGGCGTCACTGGCAAGTTTAGAGTCCCCCCCACCACTTCCAATTGGTCGCGCAGGTGTGCGCTGTACAGTCGCGTGGCAAAAAAATGAGTTACTCATTACTTTTGGGACAAATCCTGTAGACATGTTAATCACTTCCAATTTTAGATCACAAATCCATAGCGGAGTCTCAATTAGTTGCACAATGTCTGCTCGTTTCAGCATTAGCAATCTCCACGTTTCAATAGGTAATATTATTTGATTACTTCGATTATCGCCGAGAGCCAATTCCACATAGGATATTATTCCGACGCTGATTCCAATTTCCAAATATTTATATAATGTCAGGGTTAAGGCGTATCTTCTTTCAAGTATACGAGCCGCACGATGAGATAAAGCGCTAAAAATTTTATTTAAATTATTTATCACAAAAATTGTTTATTTAAAAATAATTATTTAACAAAAAATATGGAAACTTACTCGTCACATTTTTCTTGCACAAAATATTGCTATTTTGTACTCTCGGAACGTAATAATTTATGTTGCTGCAGTCTTTGGCGGAGTATAACCTTTTCGAGTGACCAATGTGATACTAAATTATTTTTTAATATTTTAGTTTTATATTGATGCAAAATGCTGATGTAATATTATTTTCAACTAATCAAAGCGCTGATATATGTCTGTTATGACATCATCCTCAGATGAAATTATCATAAAAATGCTACATATTCAAAATTTCAAGCGCTAATAAATGAAAACCGAACGTGACAAAATTATCCGATTTGCAAAAAAATGTATCACGAGCGCCAATACGGCTGCTGTGACATCATCCTTAGATGAAATCATAAAAAATGCTACATATCCAAAATTTCAAACACTAATGAATTAAAACCGTACGTGACAAAATATCCGATTTGCAAAAATGTATCACGAGCGCCAATACGGCTCCTCAGATGAAATCATAAAAATGCAATATATCCAAAATTTCAAGTGTCAATGATCATATAAAAATTATGGCAGAGACTTACTCTATCAGTATCTTTATCAAGGGTTCCGCAAAAGCATCAAGATGAAAGCAAGTTTGTTGGAGTAATCCGCAAGGGTAAATTCGGTGGAAGAATACATTGTGTGAGAGCAACAATGTGATAAATTTATTGCATCATTGGAAGAACAAAGTCAAATTAAACGTCCACGGTTAGCGATCGGAGTTCGACAATCGCTTGTCGCCCAAATTGCTCGTCTGAAAAATTTGAAGAATGACTATACGCAGACGTTTCGTACACGCAGGTGCCGGAAGTAGTTTGCGAGAAAACAGACTCGTATGGCGAGAAATTGATACGGCGTTTGAGAGCCCATATTGACTGGTGCAGTCATAAATTGTAATCACATCAAACCTCGTCAATTTCTTGAAGATGCTAAAGACATTGTGATCGAGAACGTGCAAAAAGTGTTGCACAAGTATACTAGTGTTAAAGTAAACACTGTTTAATGGTGAGTTTGTGTCGAGTAATAAACATGCCAATAAAAGTATAAATACGAGAAACTATGAACTTTTTCGCACGTCTGATATACGCGAGTAGTTAAAGCACCGCGTCATCGAGGCTATGTTAGCATCGCTTGAAGAATTTCAAGAACGTAATAGTGGGTGGGCATTATCGCGAATAATCAATTTGATTATAAATATTAACAAGTACAATCCAATGCGTGCAGGATGTTATATTAAATTACCGCATAAGATAATGATGAAGAGAGCGATTGTAAACGTGCAAAGACAATGCATGTTTCGCGTGCTCCTATCTCCATTACACAACAGTACTGAATTGCAAAGACATTGAGTTTCTAGTGACTCTGAATCAAATAAAGAAATTTGAACTGGCAAATAACATCTCAATCAATGTCCAGAGCAATGAAAACGGCATCATCCCACTACGGCTTTCGGAGCAGAAAAGGGACAAGCACGTAAATTTGCTGTACGCGCAAAACGATAACAGTGTCGGACATTTTGCATGGATCAAAAATCTCTCAAAGCTTGTCAGCTCACAATTGAGCAAATATGGTCACAAAAAATATATTTGTGATCGGTACATATATATTTACATTATATAAAATAATTTATATTTATAAAATTTTAAATAAAATTTTCAAATATTGTAATGTTACAGATGCCTGCATTATTTTGAGTTAAAAGAAAAATTGCAGACGCATATGATGGCTCTCAAAGGACGACGGTCCATATGCCATCCCCACCTCCACGCGGTGAAAGCTGGTAACGTCGAGGTATCCCTTCGGCGGCTAACGGGGCAATGGCTTCGGGCAGAGTGTGTGTACCAACATACATCTCTGGGCATTGGCGGGGTCTTTCGGCTTCTCCCTCGAGTGCTACGGTTACGCTCGAACGCCGGGCAAACGCTTAGGCTTGTATAGCGGGGACAATTATCCTTAAGTTGTGGCCGGGGAGTCGGGGACCCTAAAGGTGCCTCGCGGCGCACTAGGCGCAAATCCAAAGGAATTTTCTGACGGATTGGCCGTCTATAGGAGGAGGGACCTATAGCTTGGCTCAAGTCCCAAATCCTATGGAGTAACGGCACGGGTGCTTTACTCGTGAAGCACTCACAGAGGGGCGGTGGCTTGGGGGGAAACGGCTTAGCACCAGCGAGCCTCCTGGGGACAACCATCTCCTTGCTAGTAGATTACATCTCCAAGATGGGAGATAATTGGGTAGGTGCAGCTCCACCGTGGGACTTGGCTGGCAGTGATGTACCGGCGGGCTCGAGCCGTGCCGGGGTGATCTGTTGGCCTTGTCCTTTGGATCGCCTGGAGTTTGCTCGCGTGACCGTCTTCTCCCTTACCTGAAAGGGTGCGGAAGGAGATGATCGTGAGGATTGTGCTTCATCCTCCGGAAATTTGGAAGCACACTTACTTCGAGTCATTTACTTTAAGACACGGATGCCCACCGGGGCGCGGTAATGTCAAGTAACGGGATATGCTCCTAGAGGCTGACATTGCCAGCAACAGGGGTCCGCCTTCCCTCTCGTATAAAAACGCGAAGGCGGGGACACGGGTAGGGATGATGATGGTTGCTCGAGCTTACCTCGAGTAATCAGACATCGTAAAAACAGGGGTCTGCCTTCCTCTTTGTATAAAAACGCGGAGGCAGCCGGGCTGGAAGTGTTTCAGTACTGTAAACATTCTCGGGGCTACGTTTAGCTGACAGAACGGGGGTTTGCCTCTCCCTGAAAAATCGGAGAGCGGCTAGGGACTTAGATCGCGTGCCTCTACCGAGAGGCTCGGGTAGAATCCCCTGGTGCTTTTGCAACAGGGAAGAAGAGGGCTGTGCTTCACTCTTTGGAAATACGCGAGCACATTAGGTTACTTCGAGTCACGGATGCCCGTCGGGGCACGGAGATGTCAAGTGACGGGACATGCTCCCAGAAGATGACATCGCCAGCAACAGGGGTCCGCCTTCCCCTCGTATAAAAACGCGGAGGCGGGGACACGAGTAAGGATGATGATGGTTCTTCGAGCTTGCTCAAAAGGTCAGACATCATACAAACAGGGGTCCGCCTATCCCCTTGTATAAAAACGCGAAGGCGTTGCTCGGAGGGGGCCACGCGGGTCGGCCGTCGAAGCCGCTCGGACATTTCCGAGGCGGGACTTGACGGCGAGTCGGGTGTTGCAGGGGCTGGTTGGAGAGCGTGGCTCTCGTCCCAGCGTCCCTGTGACAGGCCACTCCCGGGCCGCTCGGACGTCTCCGAGTCTGGGTCGGGAGTGGTGGAGAAGGTGAGTCGCGGTTACCCGAGGGGCATAGCCCGGAGGATGCCGCGGCCACCTGCCGCTGGGGCCGCTCGGACGTTTCCGAGGCAGGGCCCGGCGGCGAGAGATGGTATCCCCGGTCGGTCGGGACCGTTACCCTTTCCGAACCGACCGACCGGAGAGGCGCTTGCCTCTTGCTATCGAACGTCTTCGACAAGGGGCGACACGGTATTGCTGGTCGCCATGGCGGGCAAGGTTGGGCCGGGGAGCGGCGACCCAACCCCAACCGTCTATGGAGCCCCCCGGGTGGCGCCGCCCGCTGCGGTGCTCACATTGTTGGAGGTGCGAGACCCCTGAAAACCCGCGAGAGCGTGAAAACTCCCGCGGGCGTGTAGGGGGCTCGGGGCCCTGTGCCGGGGTGCGGTATTCCCCCGGCCAGTGGCGTATGTCCTCTCCCCTGGGGAACTTGGGGCCTGGCCAGTGAGGTGTGGCCGGTTATGTTTCGGGGCATCCCCTGGCCGGTGAGGGTATACCCTGGGGAACGGAGCCGCAGCGGGAAAGTGAGATAAATTAGAATGAATAAGATTAATACAAACAACAACGCAAAAAATATTAATAACAGAGGGGAAGGAGAAAAAAAAGACTCAGAGCAAATCCTCTTTCATCATAAGGGCCTAAAATAATCGACATTAAACCGGTTATTGTCAGAGTGGTTGACATCAACTCGACTGCTTCACAGGCCCACCGGGAAGTTCTAAATGCAAGCAAGAGGACAAGCATCTCTGAAAATGCCCGTGACATCTTGCAAGGAAACGTACCTTGCACCAGTGCGGATGCAGAAAAGGCTGAAGTCATACTGGCGGAAGCGGACAAAGCGAATGCGAAAAGTGCAAGTGCGGAAAGGATAGAAGAGCTACTAGAAATGTCGGCACTAAGTAAGGAGATAAATAAGGTGATAGAGACCATCGTAAGTCGAGAAGAGGAGGAGAAGAACAAGAACAGTGGCCCGCCACAACCGAAAATAGCTAGGCGAGATGAAAGATCATCCTCGCCTTAGTTAAAAACTAAGAGGGGCAGAGGACGTCCGGTCACGACTGGCGACTATGCAAGGTTGCTAGCAAGACGTGAAACAGAACGTGTGGAAAGGGAGGAGGAAAAAGAGAAAGAGATCTTTGACCCAAAGGTCCCTA